TGATCATTTTTAAACAATTGCCCTTCAGGTTTTCTTCATTTCGTCAAAATTTATAATCTATACATATTAATTGCAAAATCCTTACCCAGGCTGTAAGATATCCCCAAAAAATTGCAATTCAAAGTACTGGCACCCTTAGTGTTGCAGCATCCGTAGAAACTATTACACAAATGATTATTTAATTACAGTGATTCAGTTATTCTACGGTAAATATTACAGTAAAATTTTCGGTTTATCAGAATTTATGTGCAGCAAAACTTTACTGTAAAATACGCAATACTGTAGAATACTAGTGCCGGTACTAAGGGTGCCAGACCTTTTTTACCGTAATTTGATCCAGAATTTTTTGTAGTTATTTCTCTCTAATGATTCTTCCACTTTCCCATAAATTTAAGAAGTTAAAATTAGGATAAATTTTGAATTAGGATTCCATTTAGCATAAATTTAGGAAGCCAAAATTTGGATCATGTGTTCCTTAAAAGATATAAAGGGAAACTGAAACTAATTTCCAATTGAATTATAAGCATAAAGTAAAAAAAAATATGCATTTAGATACTTGAAAATGATCTCGGGAAATAGCCGAATTAGCAATCATATTAACAATGTACCTTCCCTCTCCACCAATTACTATTTTGTATTTGTCGCAGCGCAGCTGATTATGACCCTAGCGACATTAAGCCACGATGAGATGAGATCTTACTGATGGGGAATGATAATGCAAAACTGTAAGGCAATGTAGGCGAATCATCTGACCGCCAATTTGCCTAATTTCGCTTACCAAAGATTCAGAGTCAAGGTTTAGGTGTGACAGTTTGTCTCTGCTGTAGGTTAGTCTTTTTTTTAAATGGCAGAATGTTTATGTTTTTTCGAGCTGTTTCATAGAATTTCCAATTTTCTAATAAATGTATTGATTTAATGAAAGCATTCAAGCACATTTGGATACATACGATTTGAATATTACGCTAAATAATTATATATTTACGACTGATAGTGTTTTAATGCCTTAATAAAGATTTGCTCATAAATTGAAGTTTTGATTATTACCTAAATGTATTCGTTAGAAAATTCATATTACAAAAAATAAAATTTTTATATTTTTGTTTTTGAGTAATAATAATATAAATTATAAAAAAGCATATAAATTGTATTTTTGAATAAATTTTAATTAATAACATATTTTATTTTAAATATACTTTATTTTTAAGGTTTTCAAGCATGTAAAAGTTTCTTTTTACTTTTTACTTCAAATGGTTGAAGTAAATGAGATTTTTTTTACTTCAATACTTCAAATGGTGATACTTATTAAATTCTAACAAAAAATAAAATATGTTTTTACCCTTTTCGGTGTAAAATGTGCTTTTACTAGACTTCGTTTTTTGCTCCTCCAGGTATTGAACAAAAGTGCTACTGAAGCTGAGTTTCTTTCTGTTTCATAATCATTATACTTATATAATTTTTTCAACTTTAGAAATATTGCTTCTCAAATACACAAAAGATAACTACATGAAATTAATTGGATGTTTGAGTGAATATTTCACATAAAAATGTTTTTTCAGAAATTTGAATATTTTTTGATGGAATTTTCGATAGAACTCAAGGAAACAATACATAAATGTCCAATCTCAAATTAAAATATAGTTTTATTTCTTAATCTCTTATGGAAAAACATTTTAAAACATATTCTCTCCATAAATGAAAATGAAATTATGCACTTAAACTTTAAAACTTTAAAAACATTGCACTAAAACTTTACAAACATACAATTTTTTTTAATTTTAAAAACATATGAATTATTATTGTCTTTTCACTTCTTAACTTGGAACAAATATTGCCCTAAATGTTTCTTAAATAAAACTATATTTTATTTATAATATGTTTAGGTACACAATTTCTACACGCATACAAACTGTTTGAAGAATTTAAGCAACAATTAATTACATTGAATCCATTCATTATTATCACAAACGGATTCCTAAATTTGTATCATTACTCATTCAAAAGCCAGGAGTTCGAACTATTTTCAAATTAGGTGATGATTTAAATCGGTTCTAAAAGGATGAATGGAATTTCTCCCCTTGATAGGGACATGATAGGTTTAAATTATTACTCACTATTTGAAACCGGTTTTAATAAATCAACTATTTTAACATTACGTATTGGTAAAAAAAAAGCACTAAGTTGTAAATATTTTGCTTTATGCTTGTAACATAATTAAATCAAAACGTAAATAATTCAGAAACATAATATTCGGTACATAATTAAATTTATACTTCATACACCTTCAAGCTAAACTTTCAGAAACTCTAATTTTAAGAAAAAATCGTGATTAGAAAAGATCTCCACTTATTTTCAAGAAAAATACCTTCATAAATAATTTTCTTGAAATCACCTAAATTTGTGATTTCAAGATTGTATTATTCAGTATAGGGAGATAAGTTTATTATATCCATTAGTATAGGGAGTTAAGTCTATTAATGGATATAATAGACTTAATTCCCTATACTGAATTAGAAGCTTATTCTTCAAACTACTATTAATGTTATTTCATAGATTAAAACAAGAATAGACAAATAAACAATTGTTTTGAATATTTAATTGTCTGCCTTAATTATTATAAACATCAGAGAGTAAAAACCCAGATGTAAATACAAATAGGTTCATTTTATAAAGGGTAATTTAAAATTAACAGTTTAATTTAGTTAGCTTTTGCATTCATTTGTTTAAGCATTTTACCAACTTCTAATTGCATAACTTGAAATAAAATAAGTACATGCTGGTTTTTAATATGAATGCTTAAAGTATTTAATCTCAGTAAGAAAATAAAAATAAAATAAAATTCAATTAATGCATTATTAAAGTTAAACAAACCTTAATGTAAATTGTTTACAGACAAAAATTATATTCGATTAAAAAGTACTGGTTTGCTTAGTTTAGTAAGTGAAGAACATTAAATTATTTAAAATATTTCAGGCAATAATGAGAGTGAGCGTAAAATTTCTTAAGAATTACAAATTTAAGTAATTAGCCGATTAACTAAAATTTGCTTAAATTTTTTTTTCTTCAAATACTTATTAAGAAATATAATTTTTTTAAAATATTTTTTTCCCATAATTGCAACTTTATTACTAGCATCGAAAAATTGACCCAATACTGAGTTACAATGCTAAACTCCATAGTCATATATTTTTGAACCCAATCCGGAAAACTTCGTGGAGGACTTTTGGATGGAACTAACCCGCATTTGCGTTACATGGAAAGGAAAACGACGAAAATCGTTCACAGTTAATCTGGTGGCATGGAAAATCTAACCCATGCTTCTTCTACGGCAGAGAATATTTTACGTCTGCACTGTGAACGGTGCGAGCATAGTGTCTAATTCGTATCGAATTGCAAACTCTGGGATTCGAATATAGATCAAATAAATAGGAGTTATTTCCTGAGTCACTACGGCTCCCATATTTACTATTTAAAATCTAATAATAACATTAAGATTCATTAATGTTTGTTAACTTTACTTTTTTTTAAACAATTTAAAATGTTCCTGTTTTACTTGCTTACACTAAAAAAAACAACCTCAGAACAATTGCTGCACATAATACTGAAAGCTTTGACATGTAAACATTGCTCGTTCACTCCCAATTTGACTAATATGCTCCGCTTGCACATAATAAAATAAGGCTAATAATTATGAATGAAAACGTAAACAGTTGCTGAAAAGGACAATTTTGCTAAATAAAATATGATGAAAACGAATACAATAAGGAGACGAAAATAAAAATCGAAATAGAAAAGTTTAAAAAAAATGTGGTAATTTGAAAGGAATTTATTGCAATTAAATTTTCCGAAAAACAACGACCATTTTTCTAAAGATATATAAAGAGTTAAATTTAAAAATACATAACTAAAACTTCAGCCTAATCAGTTCTCCCTTTATTTGTGATTTCTCTTCATCCATTATGTATATTCTAATTATATTTCGGCTACGTAACAACGCATCAAATATGAAAGGTGGGCGAAACAAATAAAGCATATAAAATAAAATGTTTTAACTAATATTTATGACTTAAAAATAAATATTTTAGAATTGTTTTAACTCAAAAAACTAGCAATGTTTGAATTATTAATTTAACAAAATATTATAAAAGGTAAGTGGCATTATTTCTTTACAATGTTAGTTATAAAATTCTAACTATGCTCGCTGTAATAATAAATTTTCGCAGAATTGTGGGATAAGTGAAGTAAAATTAAATCTTTAAATTTGAATCCGGTAAAACTCCGTTAGTTTTAGTAATTTTTGATTTTCATTGTTAATTTTAAGTATTGAATTGAGCTATTCGTTTCTTTCAGCAAGATTTAAAAAAAATTTTATTATCATTTTATTAGTGCTATGTATAATCAAGAATAAAAATTTTTTTGATTTGAATTTTTCTTTGATCATAAAAATAACTTCGAAATTGCAGAAAAATATTGAAAACATTATTATTACATTTAAGTCCTATACAATGAATAATTGTTATTTTGTTTAAAGCAAGCATTTTATTTTATTTTATAACTGGCGTTGAACAGAGACGCAGACCTAAATTTACGACCATCAATGTTCAACGCCGAAGTCTTGTAATTTTGTACCAAATTCGGTAAACAGGGGAACACCTGGACCAAGCATTGGGACAAACTAGCCTTCGGAGAGGAATTATTGAGGCAGATAACCAGCATTTGAGTTACACGGAAAGGAAAACAGCTAAAACCTCCCATGTTTAGCCCGATGGAAAGGGGATCCTAACCCATGATCCGTCTATCTCAGTGGATATTTCACATCAGCGCTGTATTCAGTGTGAGCTATCTGCAGAATTCATATCATTCAGCCACCACCGTTCTATCCCTTGAGCCAACACGACTCTAAAACAATAATTCATCGAAGAAGGAAGAATCGCAACTTTGGGTAAAACAATTCACAAGAAAATACTGCAATTGATATATTAGTGTTTATTACGCANATCATCATGGCTTTTCTGAAGGCAGAAACGGAAGGTGAAGAAAGAATTAATTTGGCCATGTCAGGTTTTGGCTTGGGATCTGATGAAAAACGCCAACCCTTTAAAAAGAAAGCAAGAGATTTGCCAACAAAAAGATTTCCAACAGCGGCAAATCTATTGACTACAGATGTAAAAGATTTGAAGAAAGTGTGTGTGTTTTGTTCAGGGAAACATAAAAGTTCAGATTGCTTTTCCGCTCGAAATATGACTTTAGCTGAAAGAGAGAACATAGTAAGAGAAAGTCAATGTTGTTTTGCCTGTTTAATGCAAGGACATCCAGTTCGTAAGTGCAAAGCTTTTATAAAATGTGTCATATGCGGTAAAAGACATGTGGTACTAATGTGTGAATCTTTAGCTGCAAAAAATCGTGAACCCGATAAATCTGGGCAGAAAAGTGAAAGTTCTGAAATAAACATGTCCAACATCACGTACGGTCCGAAAGTGTTCCTTCAAACTATGAAACTAAAGCTGATATCTGATAGAAAAGAAATTGTGGTGAGAGCAGTTTTAGATTCTGGATCACAAAGAACATATATTTAAAAAAATTTGACTGAAAAGATGGAATATGTTCCCTTGAGAAAAGAAACTCTCATACACTCTTTGTTTGGTGGTCATAAAACAGATAAATTTGAACACACGCGTTATAGAATTAGATTACGAAATCCAGAGAATAACTTGACCTGTAACATGGAAGCTTTGGATGAAACATCTATTTGTGATACTATAACACCTGTTAGCTTTGGACCCTGGTTAAAAGAGCTTGAAGAAATGAATATAAAGTTGTCAGACGTCGGAAATGAGTCACAACCAGTTCAAATTCTGCTTGGACTGACGTAATAGGAAAACTTATGACAGGAAAACGAAGAGTTTTGGCAAGTGGATTAGTAGCAATAGAGACACTATTGGGATGGACTTTAACAGGGAAAGCACCTGAAAATGATTTACCGTCAAGCAACGCAATGTTGGTTACTTCACTTTTAGTAAAAGAAATGGATATTTCTGAGCTGTGGAGATTAGATTCTTTAGGAATAAAAGATCCTTCAGAACAAAAATCTAGAGAGGAAATGCAAGAAGCCTCAATGGAACATTTCTTAAATACAGTGAAAGTTGGAGGAGACGGCCGTTTTATAGTTAGTCTGCCATGGCTTGATGGGCATTTGCCTTTGCCAGATAATTATGATTTGGCGTTAAAGAGATTGCAAATGACAACACGCAAGTTGAAAACCGACAAATTGTATGATGCCTATGGAGAAGTGTTCAAGGACTGGGAGGAAGAGGAAATAATTGAAGAGGTTCCAAAAGAAGACATGGGGATACCTTGTCACTACTTACCTCATCGACTTGTGATAAAGGAGAGCAGCACAACTAAAATCAGGACCGTGTTCAATGCTTCTTCTAAGAGAAAAGGAGTTCCTAGTTTAAATGATTGTGTAGAAAAAGGGTTAAATTTGATAGAAGTAATTCCCTCAATGATAAATAAATTTCGAAGATATAAATTTGGTGTAACAGCTGATATACGTAAGGCATTTTTGCAATTAAGTCTTTATGAAAATGATAGAAATTTCTTACGATTCTTATGGTATGGAGAAGAAGGACAGCTGAAACATTTTCGTCATCGAAGAGTTGTGTTTGGCGTTTCCTGTAGTTCGTTTTTGCTTGGGGCCACTATTCAATACCATTTGAATAATAAACTAGATGAAGCAATGGGAGGGAATGAAAAATACCCTAAAGATATTATACAGGAACTAATATGCAGTTTTTATGTAGATAATTGCCTCACAAGCATGAAAACTGAATCAGAGTTGAAACAACTCATAGAAGTTGCTACTAATATTATGGCTGAAAGACAATTTGATTTACGAGGGTGGGAGTCTACTAACCCATCAGAATCTAATTCTAGTGAGACCAACATTCTGGGAATGAAGTGGAATAGACAAAGTGATACTCTTTCCGTAAATATTCCTGATGTTAATGAAACAAACAATGAAGTGATCACCAAGCGAAATATTTTATCAGCTTCATACAGATTTTTTGATCCCATAGGGATAACCAGTCCAGTGATGATGCGTCCAAAACTCTTGCTACAAAATTTGTGGAAGTCTAAAATTGGTTGGGACGCTGAAGTTGATCAAAAAACGGGCGAAGAATTTCTAAGATGGTTAAATGAGCTTGAATGTTTGAAGAATGTGAAGGTAGCAAGATGGTTGCACTGCGATAAGGGAGTTGAAAATATTTCACTTCATTTTTTTTGTGATGCAAGCAAGTATGCCTATTCGGCAGTAGTCTTTCTGCGAGTTTGTTATATGACTAATGTTTATGTACAGCTGGTACAAAGTAAAACAAGAATTGCCCCTTGTGGGAAAAAAGAGACAACAATTGCAAGATTAGAACTTCTTGGTGCCACAATATCTGCTCGTCTATCCACTGAGGTACGAAAAGAGTTTAAAACCCACAATGTGTATTTTTGGACAGATTCCACCACAGTGTTAGCTTGGTTGAAAAGAGAAGAAACGTGGGGTGTATTCGTGCAGAACCGTGTTCAAGAAATTAGGAAACTGACACCAGTTAAAGCATGGAGACATATACCTGGATCCTTGAATCCCGCGGATCGGCCAAGTAGAGGTTGTTCAGCTAAACAATTGTGCCAGTCAAAATGGTGGGATGGTCCCAGTAGGTTGTATCCTCCATCTCGTGAATGGCCAACTAACGACTCAGAGGAAAATGTCAATGAAGAAGAAGTGATTAGAGAAAAAAGAAGAACGATCGTATCTTCAATTGTAAATATTGAAGTTACAGAAATATGGAGCGATAATTTTTCCTCTTACAGTAGAAACATCAGAGTGATGTCATGGATTCTTCGTTTCATACGTAACGCATCACATGAAAATAAATTAAAAGGTAACTTGAGCTATGAAGAATTCAAAGAAGCAGAAACTCACGTTCTCAAATCCATACAATTAAAAGCGTTTCAAGATGAGAAGTTTCTTAACGAAATGCAATTTAGAGATGAAAAGGGATTACTGCGAATAAGAACCAAACTTGTAAATAGTGATGAAACAGAAGATTTTAGATTTCCCATTCTTTTACCTGGTAATAGTTTCGTTATGAAGTTAATACGAGAAGAGCATGAAAAGTCAATGCATGCTGGTTCTTCTATCGTACTTGTCAGACTTAGGGAGAAGTCTTGGATTCTTAAAGCTAAGAAGTTAGTAAAAGAAGTCATTTCTAAATGTGTGACATGCAAGCGTTTCAAATCTAAACCAGTTGAAGTTCCCTTCACTCCGCTGCCTAGAGAAAGAGTAACCTTGACAAAAGTCTTCGAGGTAAGTGTTATAGATTATGCTGGTCCTCTCTACTTGAAGTCAAAAGGAAAAGCTTGGATCGTTTTATTTACGTGCACCGTTTACCGAGCGGTCCATTTTGAACTGGTGCAATCACTCACCACAGATGCTTATATCCAAGCCCTCAGGCGATTCATTGCCAGGCGAGGCCGGATTTCAATCCTTTATTCCGACAACGGCACAAACTTTGTGGGAGCCAGCAGAGCATTGAAAGTATTAGACTGGGACAAGATAGCCGCATACTCAACCGCTCAGAGAATCACTTGGAAATTTATTCCACCTACCGCAGCATGGTGGGGTGGGTGGTGGGAGCGAATGGTCAGAATGCTCAAAGAACTGCTACGTCGAGTTCTAGGGAAATATACCATCGATTACGAAGAACTCTACACGATATTGTGTGACTGTGAGTCAGTAATAAATTCAAGGCCACTCACTTACATACAAGATAATCCAAATGAATTAGTACCGTTGACACCCGAAATGTTTATTCACGGTGGCGGTAACAACGAAACACCAGATCTAAATAATGTAGACCGATGTTGCCTCATAAAACGTATAAAGTATTTACAAAAGCTACGTGAAAATCTCAGACAAAGATTCAGAAATGAATACCTTGCTCTTTTAGTCCACAAAGGGGTAAGAAGAAATAACGTTTTAGACGTTGGTGATGTTGTGTTAATAGGACATGACAATGTCCGTCGTATCTATTGGCCACTTGGAGTTATTTTAGAAATTTTTCCTGGTAAAGATGGCATTCCTAGAGTTGCAAAACTGAGGACCAGTAAGGGGGAAAGGATCCGTCCTTTTCAAAGGCTTTACCCATTAGAAGTGTCTACCAAAATTGATATTGAGGTCTTAAAAGCTGCTAGAAAGACTGGCAATTTTGTAGAAAACAATGAAGCTTTAGAGGTGAATTATTTTCCTAAAACTAAGTCAGGAAGAATCATTAAAATTCCTTTTCGGTTGGACTTATGAGCATTCTTTTTTATTTTAGCTCTAGTTAGTTTAAAGTTCCAACATTCGTAAGATTTTGGTTGCAAAGTTCAATAAGCCTAACTTTGCAAGGTGGGAGTATGTTAGAGATTGTAATATGTTTTTATAGTTGGTGTCACGTGACTCTGACTGCTGCTACTACTTTCATTTAATTTTTATTGTTTCACTTTGGTTTTTATGTTGGCAACTTTTTTGAAATGTTTTTGTGTTGATTATTTTAATGTTCGAATTAGTTAGGTTTTGTAAATATCACTAAATTTAGATTGCTTTAGAATAAATAAACGTTTGCTAAGTTTTGATTCGTATCTGTTTATTCATCTGTAGAACTTGTAGTTCATTTGAATAACACAAAAAGGCGTCCGCAATATTTATTTCCAATTTTTAGCGACAATTAGTGTTATGTATAATCAAGAATAAAATTTTTAAAAATATTCTTTTTCGATCTGAATTTTTCTTTGATCATAAAAATAACTTCGAAATTGCAGAAAGATATTAAAAACCTTATTATTACATTTAAGTCCTATACAATGAATAACTTTTAATTTATTTAAAGCCAGCATTTCATTTTATTTTATAACCGGCGTTGAACAGAGACCCAGATCTAAATTTATGACCATCAATTTTCAACGCCTAAGCCTTGTAATTTTGTACCAAATTCAGAAGACGGGGGAAAACCTGAACCAAGCATTGGGACAAACTAGCCTTCGTAGAGGAATTATTGAAGAAGCTAACCAGCATTTGAGCTACACGGAATGGAAAACAACTAAAACCTCCCATGTTTTGCCAGATGGAAAGGGGATCCTGACCCATGATCCGTCTATCTCAAAGGATATTTTACGTCAGTGGTGTATTCGGTGTGAGCTATCAGTAGAATTTATATCATACAGTCAACATCGCTCCATCCCCTGAGCCACCGCGACTCTGAAACAATCATTCATCGAAAAAGGCAGAAGCACAACTTTGGGTAAAACAGTTCATAAGAAAATATTTGATGTGTGATTGATATATTTTCAATTATTACGCAATCAGTAAACCAAATTTAGTCAGTAAAATATCAAAATCCCCCTAGCCAAAAAAGGGCGTTTTTGATTAAATAATCAAGATCAATTATATATGATTGAGATATATCCTTTAAGTCTTTTTCTTGCGATTTTTTTAAAGAATCACTATAAGAAATCAAGAGCCGTGGTGGTGCAGGAGATCGAGCTCTCACCTAACAATGAGGTAATCCGGAATGAAATCCCAGCGATGACTGGTTGATATGAATTTCGTATCACCGACCACAGTACTGCCGTAGCTGACGTAAAATATCTTCAGTTGTAAACAGATTATTGGTTAGAGTTTCAATGTCCTCGGGTTAACCGTGGGAGGTTTCCATAATTATCCTTTCCATGTAACGCGGATGCAAGTTAGTTCCATGAAAAAGCTATCCATGTAGGCAAATTTCAACCAATACTTGATTCTTCTGGATAGGTTTCAAACTCACAAGGACATGGAGTTAAACAGTGGTAGTCGTAACCTCGAAAATGAAGACGACTGTTCAGTGACGGTTACGAAATAAAAAATAAAATAAAATAAAACAAGTGATGAAAAAAGTGCGAAAGAGAATGTTGAATAAAGTTTGTAGCTCTAAAACAATGAAAGAAGCAAAAGTGTAAACTTCTAAATACAAAATTACGAAACATTATACACGTGGATAATAAAGTACTATTAAGTAATGAATAACATCTATTTCCGAATATATACTATTTAAACTGATAACTAACGGTCGGATTAATCTACATCAATCTGCATCAAATAGACGGATCAACATTATGTAATCTTATCAAATACAGAAAAATAATTTCATATATTTAATGCAACATTTTCTGACGCGAGATTCAATTGGGGTATATTTTCCGATTCCCAACATCCCTATTTCAAATAAAAACAATCAAATGACACAATTAATCAAATGAGACAAGTAAAAGAAGACAGTACAATAGAGCAACAAATGCCATTGGTATGAACATGAAAGGCATCATTAATTTTTAAGGAAATCAAAATCTTAGAACATCTCGAAAATCACCTTTGAAAATTTAGAATTTTATTTTCGAAATCTGACATTTTAAATAACAACTAACAAATAAAATATAACTTAGATTAATACGTTTCCATTTAAAACAAGTCAGTTTACAACATATGCAATAAAAGTTTTCTCCAACTAGGTAATTATATTCAATTGTCATTCAAAATGATAAAAAAAACTTGGGAAGTAACAATTATTATAAGTTACGCAATATTTGAGGGACATATTTAATATTTCCTTTTAAATACAATTTCGTATTAAGTCAATCGTTTAAGTAACTATTTAAATAAAGTAAATTGCTTTTATGTATCTGAATTCTAAGACGTCAGTAACAGTTACATTATAAAGTGTTTCAATTTTTTTTATATACAACGTATTTATTTCAAAATGAAAATTATATATATATANTATATATGTAAAATTAGAAATAAATGAAAAGAAAAGAAGGAAAAAATTATGAAAATAAAATATTAAAAAAGTAAATAAAAAATACAATAGAGCTCACACGATTATATCAACAAAAAAGAGTGTTTTCTAATATTGCATCAATTTAGCCAATGTAAAACATATCACTGTAATAGTGTGAGGAGTGCTCAAAAGAAAAAGAAAATTGAAACAAAAAAGTAGACATTAAGTAAAAAATATATTATGTAAAAAAATATAACTTTAAGATAAAAGATTAAGATTTTTTCTTGTTTTCCGGCCATTTAATATTATATTTTTTATTTACTTTTTTAATATTTTACTTTCACCCTTCTTTTCTTTTCATTTATCCTTAATTTATATATATATATATATATATATATAATTTTAAAATACAATACAATAGTATATCAAAGGGTTAAAATAGTCTGGTACACTGTTAAACTTTTCTCGGAAAAAATGGTTAAATAACAATTTATTCAATTTGATTTTACCATTTTCAAACAAAACAGTCAAAACACCTTAAGAATGCATCCAAATTGTTAACTGTGAGCCGTAACCGTTTATTAACTGTTTTTACTTAATACGCTTAAATATCCCGGCTTCTATCACCGAACACAGGGTCAATTTAATAAAGATATTCAATTCCTTGCAGCTGGATACATATTATTACCGAGAGGGCTAATATGTTAATCTCATGACCAACAGAACCAGGATTATGATTCCAACATTGACAAAACAATATTTTCCTCCAGTGCATATTCCATAGTTCATTTGACAATACACAACTCAACCATAACCCAACTCCAACGCCCATTACTTAGCTACTTAGAAAAAAGCATAGCTCTAATAATAGCTCCGAATTAAATTTTTTGCAATGGTTTTGAAAACATGCTAGTTGTAAATAATAAAAAAAAACTTTTAACTTTGCATACATAGTTTTAGACCATACTAGTTGTAAACTATTTTAAAAAAGTAAAGATAAAAAAATTTAAAGTTTAAGTTTAATTGGATGAACAGACTGCAGTCGATTATTTTACCGTAATTTTAGAAGTTTCTCACATTGTTTATAATAGCATTTAATAAATTTGATAAATTTGAGAATTGAATAAAATCAAAGGGAATCGAATAGAAACGATTATTTATGTGATGACTGTTTTGTTATTTTGTTTATTGCTTTTACGGCATTTGCCTACTTGAATATAATTCATTTCAAAATAAATTTGTTCACTGAATAAATTTTATAATTGCAATTATAAAAATTTTATATTTTCTTGTACCAAAATACATATAATACCCTAAATGAACAGCCCGCATTAATCAATGTGTTGTTCTCTAATCGTAAGTAAATATATCGTTAAGTAAATATCATATGAAACAATTTGTCGTAAAACGGGGTAATTCGAAACGCCTCCACCGTAGATAGGGGTATAAAAATTTGAATGCTGCATCAGAATATTCAATATATTTTGTGTCTGTTTGGGTAAAAATATCTAAAAGAACTGATGCAAGTTACAGTTCAAAAACACATTTCCATTTATTAGGTTATCTCTAAATTAAATATACTTATGATTATTTAAAATTTGTCATGCTTTCGTAGTAGATATATTTTTATAATGTATTTAGTAAGCAAAATATTTTCCTTATAGCTTCCTTAAATTTGTTTAAATTTGATTCTTTTGTAGTAACTATGTGACATTTTTATACAAAATACAAACTCCTGCTGACTTCGAGAGAGCTCTAAAGGATATATATGCAATGAAGAAGAGGTTTAGAAAACGAAACTCCCTGGTATATTTAGATTTTCAGAGTTTTATAATATGATTTCCTGACTTACTTGATCTGGTTTCGATTCTCAATATACATATTAAATCCGTGACTTTCCTACACAAAAAAAAAATGCCTTAAATTAAATTTCGTAATAACAATTAAAAATGAGGATAAGGTATTTAAAAAGTCGGTTTGTTCTGGGTAGATGTGTGCATTTAACATTTCTGTATAATAAAAGAAGTTTTGGAATTATCAACTTTTTTATTTTTAGTGTAATCCGAAAAAACTATGTGTTAAAAAATTAATGTACTTTATTTGTATGCAGGACAACTTTATACAACTTTATTTGTATGCAGGAAATAGTAATATGTTTCCACTTTTGCAAAGGCACATCTCAAAGTTAGGAAAACAACTCTATCAGACAAATAGTTTTATGTTTCGCTTCGTATTTCTAAACATTATTTAAACTGAGAAATAAGAATAGATGATTTCCATTCCTTGATCTACAAAAATTTCCTGTCAGTACGGAAAAAATCTGATCATTAGATAGACGGTTATTGAGAATGTTCCTTTTCTGAATTTGCACTGTGTTCATATCCAACGAAAATATTCACCTTTAGAGAAGTTAACTTATAAAGATGATGATGCCGAAAATTTAAGCTGCAAAATTTAATAATTTTGTAAAACTGAAATCTTGATATAATATAATTTTTTTAAAAAG